GGAAAAAGATTAAAAAATAAAACAAAGAGAAAAGTTAGTATAGATTTAAAAAATGTATAAAATAATTTTAAAAAATTAAATTATTAATACAAATTTACCAACAAAAAAAAAAAAAAATTTTTCTTTAAAAAAATAAAATAAAAATAGAATAAGAATTGAAATTATAAAAATATAAACTAAACAATTTTCAAAACTAAAATAATAATTTTAAGAAAAAGTAAACTAAACAATTTTTAGAAACGCAAAAAATTAATTATAAAAATTTAACAAATATAAAAAAAAGAAATTAAGAATAAAAAATTGTTTAGAATTAAATAAATGATTAATAAAAAATAATAAAAAAATAAATATAGAATAAAAAAGAAGAAAATATTTTATACCAAAAAGAAAGAAATTAAAATGAAGAGAAATAAAAATGCTGTCAAAAATTAATTAAGATTACATAACAAAAATCTAATTAAAATCAACGGATTAAAAATTTGAAATGAAAAAAAAACTAATAAAGCAAAAATCCAATTTTAATAATAAAATTCAAGAAAAAAATCATACATTTTTTTCCCATTCGCTAAATTAAATTTTTTTTCAACAAAAAAAATCAACTTTTTCCATTTTGACCGAGTTTTATTTAATGAAAACTTTTTTTTCCATCCTTCAAAAACTAAATTATTAAAAGAAGAAAAAAATGCTCAATTTCAATCAAATTGAAAGTTTCCAAAAATAAAGCATAAAATGTTAATTAGTGCGCAATATTTTTCTTGTTATACTTTGTTAAATATTTTTGTTAACTACAAGTTAAAAATTAAATAAATAAAATAAATTACTTGCTATTTTTCTCATTTCTTGAATTTGTTGAGTTAAAGATTCCACAGAAAAAAAAAAAATTTCAAGCAGCTAAAAACGATATTTTCCTTTTCAGACGAGATTTATTAAGTGAAACCATTTAAAGTTGCCTATTGAAAAAAGTGGATGAATTATTTTTTTTCCACGGAAAAAGTTTGAACACAGAAGTGGTTATTCCGTGTCCACGAGTTACACATTTTTTTTTTTTTTGGTAAATTTTAATATTTTGTTCTCCTCACAGGCGTTTCTCCTCATTTTGAAACAAACAAAAAAAAGAGAAAAGAAAAAATTTCTGTTTTTTTAATTTTCCTTCTGTTTTTTCACTCTTTGTTCTTATCACTATTATTTTTCTTTAAAATAAAATATTTGAGAATAATTTTTTTGATACTTTATAATATATAGTAATAATTTAAACAATAATAATAATATTAATAATAACAATGATAATAATATTAATAATAATAATTATAATAATAATAAGAATAAGAATAATTAATAATAATAATTTTTTTAAATTAAATGTATTTTTATAATTTTTTCTTTTTTCGTAAAAAAATTTTTTTTAAATATATATTAATTTTTTTATAAAGAAATTTAGTTTCTTAAATATAAAAAACGATAAAAATTAGGATTTTGGATTTAGGATGGGATCGATGGACCGGGTTAATAACCACTCCTTGTCAAATTTTTTTCAGCAAAGTAATTTTATTTTCCTTTTTTTCAATCTTCGCCTTTCTCCAAAAAACAAAATTTGTACACGAGACATTCGAGAAGATTTACATTCATTCGTTATTTACAAAATGAAAAAAAGAAAAATTATTTTGGACCTCGTCGTTAACGACAAAGAATTTAACAATATTTAATAAATAATAATACTATATTCAGGAAAACAATAATCTGCGGTGTCGAGAATTTTTTTTTTACAACATAGAATTTTTCCACCGGGACCGTTCTCAGCTTTTTCGAAATTTCCCAAATGAAAAAAAAACTTTTCAAAATTTCTCAATATATATATCAGTTTTTAATGAGATTCTCTCTTTTACTTTCTCATAAATTTAATAATTATACTATTTTTTGGCTTTATTCTCGAAAATCAAATTTTATTCGTTCTGAAAACGGTCCAGAATTCTTGGCATTTCGCGCTTATTCCTAGTTTTTTCTTTTGTTCTTTCTACACGATATTTACAACAACAGATTTTCGATTATTTACAAACCCCCTTAAAAATATTTAAACCAATATATCTTGGCAAAAATTATTCCGCAATGAATTTTCTCTCTAAATATACACAGAAAAAGAGGTTTTTCCCCTAAATAGCAATGAATTTGAATTTCCCGCCGAATCTCAACTACAAACAACAGCGCTTTTCTACAATTATCTCTTGGCGCGAAAATTCAAATTCTTTGAAATTATATTTTTGTTAAATTTGCAAATAATTTTTGCCTCAACGTTGGCAATATTAAATTAAGAGGGGGGGAAAAAATACTGACTAGTCGACTTTTTTTTGTGAGAGTGTCATACACACACATACACATATTTTGTTCACACTGAAGAAAAAGAAAAAAAAAAAGAAATCCGAATCGAAATCGTTTCTCTTTAGATTTTTCCAAAAGATATTCGAGATTTCTATTTCAGTGGACACTTAAATTGAAATTTCCTCTCCCTCTCATCCCTTTAGAGAGAGAGAGAGAGAGAGGGAAAAAGAATTGTCGCGGGAATGTTAAGATTGTTCTGAGAGTAAAAACGCCGCGATCTTTTGCACGGATATGTACGATATTATCCCTCCTCCCCCCCCCCTTTGCCCCTTCCTCACCAAACAAATACGAATTTCAAGTGTTTCTTTAAATGGAATTTTTTTTTCCTCCCATGAGATGGCGAATCACAACTCCTCAGGTTGGAGATACAATCAGCAATCAGCAACAAAAAAAAAAAAAAAAGAAAAATTCCCACTTGGCTCCAAAACTATCAGCTATAGAAACTGCAATCTGAGTTCTAATTCGCTATTCGCCTGGGATAATAAAGGGATCTCAGTGTCAGAGCTGATTCAATTTTTAAATTTTGTGTTTGAAAAGAAAAAAATTTTCTGAAACTAATTTTTATAGAATTATTCTTTTTGAAATATTACAATTGGAGACTAAGTTGACTTTACAAAATAGGAACTGATTTTTATTTTGACAAAGGTTGTGTTGAGAAGTGAGGAAAATTTTTTTGAATTTACTACCCAACTCTGCTTCTCGATATTGTGCGTTGGCCTTTAGTTTTAGTACCTAATTTTTACTAAAAACTTTTTCGAACTTTGAAAGAAGGTATAAACAACAAAAAAAAGCTATTGTGAGCTGGCCTTTAGTTTTATTGAAAACTAGGCCTAAGTGGAGACTTAGACCTAATTTTCACTAAAAGTTTTTCACACTTTGCAAAAGGTTACATAACCAACAAAAATAGGTATTGTGTGTTGACCTTGAGTTTTAGTGAAAATTAGCCTTAATTTCCACTGAAACTAAAGGTCAACGCACAATAGCTTTTTTTACTAAAATTCTTTTCATACTTTGCAAGAGGCCATATACCTTGTAATCATAAACCTTTTCTAACCTCTAATCGTAAATCGTAGAGGTTTACATTCTTAGGTCCCTCGTCCCGAATTGTAGGCTCTACAATTTCACGTTTCCACCCTTAAGTCTCACATTTCAAGATGGCGGAAAATATATCACAATTTTCCCCTCTTTAGGTCAAATTTACTTTATCCTTCCCTGCTTCTCTTCCCCTTCTCGATTCTTTGAAGAATTTACCAAAATTACCGCTTTTGGTAATTGACATTCAGAGACCTTATTTTTTTTTTTCGAAGGGGAAGAGAAAACAGTTTGTCGGTATTTTCAATTTTCGGTCAATTTTGAGAAGCAGGGTTTGCCGAACAGTCGCCATGGATTATCCGATTGGCTGGTAAAATTACCGGTAACATTACCCTTCAATGAAATTGCTTTTGTCCCTGGGAAAGTTATCACAGAACCCTTGTCAATATTTTCTTTTACCAACCCCTCTAATTGTTTCAGTTCAGGATATGATTTATTGATAAAGCGTGTCATTGACAAATGGAGGTTACGATTAATTAACTGGGCTGTCAAATTAGTCTCCTATTGTATTGATCTTCAAGGAGGTCGAGAACGGAATAAGCTAATTAGAACATTGAAAATAGAAACTAATTAAGGAATTGAAGATCTTTTAGGAATCTCATCCATAGATGAGTTTGACTCCTACGATTCGACGGAATATGACTCCATGAGTTTGTATTTGTACTTGGGAAAGTAATTTAATTACAAGTGAGCTGTGAATCGAAATCCGCCACTGACAATGAGAAACCTAGGAGTTTTCTGTTTCTGGGTCACGTGTCCCTAATATCGAGATAAATGTCCTCGGGTTTACTGAGGAGGTCGTGAATTTGTTGCATTGTGCAAAGGGGGCAGACCTCCTCGTCAGTGCCGTCGGTTGTGATTCGCCTCGCTGCGCCAGGACCCCGTCGATTGCCCACGCCAATAATTGAGTAACCCTCCGAATCGACGGAATTCGATCGCGATGTGGAGACGAGTCTCTGAAGGGCTCTATTCGCACGAATTGGATGTCGTCTAAAATCATTGTTGTCCGATTGTCTAAAGTCTATGAACGAATAGCCTTCGGAATCGACGGACGGACGACGTAACCTATGAACCGGTGACGCTGTTGTTGGAGTCTGCAAACGGGGCCTATGAGTTGGGGTAATGGGAATTTCGGAACTCCTCACCGTTTGTTGTTCTTGGATATTAAGATAGATATTTGGATCTGTTAGGAGTGTGGTCAATGCACTTGGATCAGTGGTGATTAGGGCATTTTGACTTGTGAGGAGGAGATTATTTTCAAGGGACGATGAGGCTAATGTGGATGATTGGGAGGCTATGGACAGGGGGACTCCTTGGGACTTGGCGAGGAGGGCGCGCGGTGTTCGATAACCGCCGAGAACCGCTCTCGAGGGTTTATCGGCGACTCGGAGAATTGATCTCGGATCTCGATAGTCGAGATAGTCGAGATGGTGAGGCGCAGGTGCGCGAGGCGGTAGTCGTGGAGGTAGTAGTGGTAGTTGTGGTGGTTGTAGATGTTGTTGTTGCTGTCGGTGATCGAGATTTGTGGCTCGTACCTCGATCGTTGGCTGACTTGGATGATGATGATGATGATTGTGTAACTGCGAATGTGGCACGGTGTCTGGTAGGTCCTCATAGAGAACAGCGCTCCCCAAATGTCCCGTGCCTGGATGACCACCACCATCGGGAAGTCTTCCGCGTGCCGCAGCGGCCGCCGCACTCTTGCATGGTAACAGATTCTGCACTTTTCTCTTGTGCCTGCAACAAAAAGAAAATATCTCCATTAGAATCGAAAAATACAAATTATAATCGTAATTAAAAAATAAGATTTAAGTAATATCACTTAGGGTTGTTTTAGTTACTAATTAACATCTAGAGTTTCTGTTTAAATGGAGGGTTTCGAAAGCCTGACAACATGTTAAGATCCTGGATTTTCAACCCTTGCCTTCTCGCCTCTTCACCCTTCGACATCTAAACCTTTACCGTGGTCAGATTACAGAGGGATTTGTTGGGGAAATTTTCCGGATTATTCAAATTTCGTAACAACTGTTTCATGTCATGAAGAAGATAGACCATCAAGAATAGACCTTTCTGGGAATTTTTGGAGCGAGGGGGGGAAATAAAGAATCGTTGATGGCTTTTTTATCGAATGGACTGAAAGTCGGTGGCACTTGGATGAACGTTAATGTCTCACGTCAAAGGATGTGTGTAGAGTCTCCAAGGGCTCGTTAACAATGTGTTCGCAAGTTTCTCAGTGGCATGCCTGGGAGAGAGAGAGAGAGAAAGGAGACGAGTCGACAAACGCGAAAGTCGCGGACGTGTTCTTCCGTGAAGGTTGTGTAGTCAGCATCTCGAAAGGTATATACACCAAAGGCGCCTTTGAAGATCGTTACCGCCAGTTTCATAGGACGTTTCCAGCCTCTTCGCCGGACAGGTTGTTACTCGAACTAACTTGCAGTCTGTCGGCACCTCACCTCTGACCCCACCACGTCTTGTTTCTGTCTCTCGGTGAGAAAATAATTTTTAAATCCCTCGGTCATTAAACTCCTTTGATAATTCCAAACACGAAAAATGTTTTTTTTTCCTTTCCTCCCGCAGAAAATCAAGAAATATATTTACTAATAAACTCGAGTCGATATTAGCTTTCGGATCTAATTTGATCCGAAGGGTTCGACCTCACAGAGGGTTCTAAGTGAAGCATATACTGAATGGAGTGGTTTATATCGGAAGTTTTCTCTTAAACTCCCTTGTCGACCAGGGGAAGACAAGATGAAGAGAATGGACTTCTGACGAATCACGTGTTCCATCAAGAAACACAAATTCCCCGGGATCAAAGGCATTCCTATTGGTTAAAGGGAAGTAAAACCCGCAAACTTTTACCTAATTCACCCTAAGAGAAAACTTTTTTCCCTTTCCTTTATTAACCACTAACCAGAAAATTTACTAAAGAAAAATCATTGTTCAATGAAAAAAACCTTCGATTGTAATTCGTGATAAATTCTCGAAATCACGAAATATTCTGTGAAGGATGATTGAAGAAATTCTGCGGTATTGCACCTCCCGAAGATGACTCAAGGAAATTAGCTTCTTTTAATATCCGTTTTGGTTTCATTCCATTTTTTCCATCTCACATGCACGATTGAAAAAATCGACGAGACAATTTCCTATACACCAGAGAGATGGATAATCTTAAACCTGGGGAAATTAAATTCCCCGATAAGTATATTGCTTTGCTTCTTTCTCAAATTGAAATTTCACAGAGGATTATCGTTTATATTAATTTTCCTCCACTAGATGACTTGACAAATCCTAAAACGTAGTCTTTGGAAAACAAATTTTTAAAACTCTAATTCCAGATATGATATTTCTCGCCATGAAATGATATTTACATCGTTAGTGTTGATACACTCGAGTTGGTAAACCACTATGGTAGTACGATAAAGTCAAATATTTCCGCGTGGCAAGAAATTACATGTGGTGCTCCGCACTTGGAGTTGATTATTGTTTAAACTGGAAACATAAACAATTCCCAGAACGTGAAGAGAGCCAATAGAAAACCCCTTGTTCGGCAAACCCATCTGGATTGGGGAAATAGACCCCGAGGTCATGTTCTCGTTCTGACCCTCTCGACATGATGGAACTATAAAAATTCACCGCCCGCTCGATATTCTCCTACTTTACTATACCTCAAATGGAGGGCGAAAAAAAACAATCCAATCCTTTTTTTTTGTCAAATCATCATCATCATCAGTTTTGATGTCAATTATAAATCCATTCAAAATCGAATGTAAAATTCGAAAAATAAAGAACATGATTCATCAGAGTGTACCCTATACACAATTCTCTCGCTATTGAACCAAACAAAAGCGTTCCATTATTGAAGCAATAATTTTGAAACAGTGTTTCGACAAACCTCCCCCTTGGGGTCCGCATCACGAATTTTCACCTCTTCCTCCACCATGTTTATATGTGTGTTTGTGTGTGTGTGTGTACATATTGGACTATTTGTATCGTGCATAGTTCTAAGTTATGCGTAGTGCGCCGATCTCCCTTTCCACTACCAAAATAATATTCCCCATTCGCTTCGGTACAATGGATCTTGATTACCATTGTCGCGACGCGGGAGAGTTTCGCAAAATAAATAGTGAAAAAATTCCACTGCGCTAAAAATGAAATTCTACGAAATCCCCAGAGTTTCTTGGATGAGATCAAAATCTCAGGATTTGAGTTACAGCTCCTGTTAAATAAGTGTTTCGATTTCTGGAGAATTTGAAAATTGAAAATCTAATCGTATTTTTGAAATCAAGTTTTTGAATTTGAACACAATGCAATTTTCCCTAATTTGAATAATGCTATTACCAAATGGAATGGCGAATTGTAAACGATGCTCTCTAACAATTCGATTCAATTAACAAGGTGCTGGGGACAATTCGTATAATACTCGCCAACCTACGACGTGAAATCGAAGCCTAGAGATAATGAGAGCAAGAGATAGAGAGTAATACGAGGTTCCGTAATTCTATTTCGTGTGTGATATATGGCGACCCTCTCACTCTCTCGCGTACTATTGTAGTCTCACTGTCGCGAATATTACCCTAACGGGACCATAATTACGTCATCGTCATTGTCTACCCATTGCAAGCAACTGCAAATGCCATGCAGTAGTAGACCTTCGCCACAATTCTCTCTCTCTCGAAACTATTCCATTTCCTTCCGTCTGTTATACAACCCACTTCGATAAATCCCAAAATTGTCCAATATGTGCCGAAAAATACCCACCACAAAATCCTAGTCCAAAATCCCATAGACGAAAATAAATTATTCGAATAAAGTGCATTTTGGAAGCATTTCTTGAATATAAGAAGTCAGGGATAAAGGGGCTTTTCGGTAGAAGCATTATGTGGGGTAATTAATTCCGTATGTCGCATATGCTTGGCACAATAGGATGAGGTTATGTTATATATATCGGAGATGTTGACCAGTACCCCAAGGGGATCATTGGAGAGACCACCTGGTACACAGTTACCCCCCATTCCAAAGGAGTGGTCATGAACATTCAAGACCTCTCTCTCTCTCTCTCTGGAAATTATCGGCGCATTGGGTGCAATTGAAGGCAAAGTGTGCGCACCAGGTGTGTAATAGCGCCTCCGAATATTTCGCGAACACTAATGGGAGATACCGCTGGGGCCAAGGCGAGGGCTTAAGAGATTCCACTGATTTATTACTTCCCAAGAATCGATTACAAATTCACTATACTATACGGTGAGAATGTTTCCCTTTTCCTTTACTGCGGCTTCTTTTTTTCTTTTATTCCAAAAAATTTGGATATTACAAAAAAAAATATTTTTCTCTATTCGTATTTACAAATAAAACTAATTTTTAATTACTGATCGTATCTACGATTTGGATTATAATTGCAAATTCAGGCGCGGCGGAATATTATCATCGCTGCTAGGTGTAGATAACAATGGAAGTGAGAGAGCGATATTCATTCCCGTGTGTGTTATGTATTTGGTTTTCGGTCCATTGATGGGCCGCGCCAGCACTTTGAATTCTGGCGGAAGGAAAATGGTGGGAGGTAGAGGAGAGAGTCATTTATCGATGTTAGTCGCGCGTGTATTGATATGCAAAATTTAGTTTCCCTGAAACTTGAAAATACGAAGTCGTGAATTTCGATTTAGTCGGAAGTTAATTTCCTTTTCTGGGAATTTCCTCCAGTTTCCTCAGTATATAGTTTCTTATGAATTCCCGTTGCGGTGGCAATTAATTCCTTTGCCTTTTGCTGGAAAATTCCCGGCTAAGGAATGGTTAATGATTATTAATTGGATAACCATCCTCATCAATGATGATGAGGATGAATCATCGTTAAATCATCATTAACCATCCTTATCATCAGTGGTTTAAACCACTGATGATAAGGATGGTTAATGATGATTTAACGATGACTATCATTAATGATGATGAGAATGGTTCGACACCTAATCCAAAATTTACAGACGCTACTATCCAGTTGTGTGTATGATACTACAATTTCACTTTGGGAATGTCTCGAAGTTCATGGGGAATGGCACGACCTCCCATTTCATTTCTATGGGGCGAGACGCATATTTTCAGCAAGTGGGTGGGCGCGACACTTTGTTAGGACGCTGTCTGCAACACCGGGAGTCTGTCGAGCAAGGTGCGCGTCCTGTCACCAGCACCTTGTGCCAATGCCATAACTATGCCCTTCCTCAATGCCCTTCCCGAAGAGCGCTCTTCTCACTGAAATCATCAGAATATAAAATACTCTTTTGCCCCCCTTCGGAAAAATTATTCCCCTAATGAATATTGTCAACAAAAAAATTCCACAATGCTGATTACTGATTAGCCATTCAATTTCCCGTCCCCTCACTCGATTCGGAAATAACCCAATGAACGTCTATAAGAAAACAAGCAAAACTTAATTTTGTGTTTTATTACAACTTCCATAAATATACGGAAAGAATTCTAATCCTCTAATTCTCTACACCTGTCAACAAACTTCTTCTCGAGAAAACACACGTGCCTTAATAATTCAGAGTATTTCCATTCCCTTTCTATTTTTATAGTAGAACCAGCAATTTCGAAACGGTTAATAATCCGTCAAAAAAAAAAAAATTTCTTCTTTTTTTTGTTGGAAATTGTTTCACTGTTAGAAATGTAAATCGAATTTTTTTTCCCAATGGTCATAAGGATCTGAAGGGCAATTAGCCGACGAAAGACAGCAACGGTAATTGGTT